GTGAGTATACTAAAAACGTTGAATTGTATACTTTAAGAGGAATTTTATGGTATATGCATTAAATCTCACTAATTTACAACTGAAACTGAATTTAAAGAGTCTAATAATGTCCTTTCATTGACAAATGCAATGTGAAATTTCTTGTAATGTGGATTTCCGATCAAATTCAAATCGTTTACATCAACTATTTCAAGTTAAGCTATAAATCGCAGAATGCACATGAAGTTTTAGAACTGTCACCCAGCCCATAGCTTTGACCACAGAGGTCAGAAGTGTCCAGTGTACATGAAGCAGAGGCTGGGCTGCAAGGAGCCCTGGCCTAGCACCTTAGGCACCTGAAACACCAACTGCACCAGCAACTCCATGGCTCCCTTGTCTTTAATGAGCAACAGTGTACTCAGCACCTGCTGCTGAACTGGACCAGGTAGTAGTGCTGAATATGACCAGATGGTAGCACCTCTCCTTGGCCATATTTCAGTGAGTCCATGGCTCCTGGTGATAAGGGGACAGGTAAGGGGGCTCTGGCTGCTCCAAGATCCATCCATCTGGACATGAGGGACAGAAGGGATCAGTATCTCCCAGCATACCAATTTCAAGGCACATCACTTAGGGTATTTAATTTAGGGTTATAAAATCTAGAATTGTACTGAGTAGAGCTACCTTGAACATAAAAATGTGGCACTATGTAAATATTGATTCCAGTTTCCACCAGTTTTTAAAGCCCAGTGATTCTGGGTAGTTGCCTAAACTAAATGCTATCTTTCTTCCCCTAGGAAAGTTGAGATTAGGAAGCCTACAATGGTATATCAAAAATGTTTATAGAAGTAATCATCTTGAAAAATGCTACTTAATATTTCATTGCTCAGTGTTTGGTTATGCTTCTCTGCATGTTACATAGATTAAAATCTCTAATAAACTATAACTGAACCCGGCAGTGATTATAATCTGGGCAGTGTACTATACATTATATGTGAATGATTCTACTTTATAGTAGACATTGCTATGCATAATAAATTATACTTGACATCACATGAAGTAGTTAGAGCAGGTTCAGAGTCCTCCTGCAGAAACCTGAAAGAGTTGCTTTTGACAAATATATGAATATGGTAGTTCCTCAAAAAATTACAGTTATCATTTGATCCAGCAATTTCACTTCTGAGCAGGGACTCAAATATATTTGTACACCCACATTCACAGCAACATTATTCACAATAGCCCAAAGATGGAAACAACCCAAATGTCTATCTGCAGATAAATGGATAAATAAAATGTGGTATATCCATACAGTGGAATATTACTCAACATTAAAAAGGAATTAAGTTCTGATACACACTACAACATGGATGAACCTTTAAGACACTGTTCTAAGTGAAATAAGCCAGATACAAAAGGACCAATATTCCATGATTCCACTTATGTCATTCATAGAAATAGAAAGTAGAATGGTGGTTGCCAGGGTCCGGGTGAAGGAGAAAGGAGAAGTTACTGTATAAGGGGAACAATTTTAATCTGGGACAGTGATAAGTTCTGGAGATGAATGGTGGTGATGGTTGCACAACAATGTGAATATACTTAATGTCACTGAGCTTACACTTAAACATGGTTAAAATGGCAACTAGACTTGTGTTGGCGATTACTGTGTAATGTATACAGATGTCAAATTATGCAGCACCTGAAACAAAAAGGTTTTCTAAGAAATAAAATTAAAATGAGGTTAACTAAGCCCTCCAAAATGGTTAAAATGGTAAATATTATGTATATTTTACCACAATAAAATAAAGTATTTAACTATATTACCTTGTGGGCAAGGAGGACTAAAGGCAGACTGAGGTTGACAATATCTAAGTAATTAAGATAAGAATTAATAAAATGCTAAATCATTATCACCAAATAACAAGAGTTTGTAATCTCAAGGACCCTGCAATGATCAGACAATGTCTGAAGAATCGTGTGTATTTTGGGGTACCTATTTTTAAAAAGACATGCCCAGGTGAGAGTTACCAGGAAATAGTGTTATAAGAAGTGGTTGAAAGAGGGGAGGCTATTTTGGGTGAAGAGAGAGATACAGGGAAGCCTGATGGCTGGCTCCGAATATTTGAAAAGCTGTCGTGCAGACCATCCTATTTTACATTGCTCTACCAGGTGGGGCCAGAACCAGCTCTCTCATAGATTCAGAATTTTAGAGGTAAAAGGGATGTTAGTGACTTTGTCCAACCCCCTTATAATAGGAGTCTTAAAAAGATGGAGTGACCTGCCTGAAATCACACAGCTGGTTGATGCAGTCAGGCTTTTGAAGAAGTCTCCTGGCTCCAAGATCAGGGTGTTTATCACAACACGTCAATTCCCACAGCCCATTCCTCCACAGTCTTCAAGACTTCAGTATCATTACCTTCTCAAACTTAGCTAAATATGTTCCCTTCCATTTTCAAGGGCAATGTCAACTCATTGTGAACCCTCTAAGCTACTCTAAATATTTAAATACAAAATGTAACATCAGGAATGGGTTTCACAGGAACTGAAAGAGCAGTCGAGTGGGATGGTGAGACATCCCCAAGATGAGCAACAGCAGGAAGCCTCTGCCTCCAGGCTGGAGGATGAAGGAAGCAAGTGGAGTTTCTCAAGACAAGGAACCAAGTCAACTGCAGAAGCTAGGCCACAGAAGGCCCGCTTGCTGGCAGGAGCTGAGCTTTCTGGAAGCAACACAGGGAAAGGGTGAGGAATAGACCTTAAAGGCAAACAGATTCTGTGATTTTATGATTTTATGAGTGTACAAATAATTAAGTCAAACAGTGTATAAACCCTCTTCCAACCAAGTCCAGGAGTCTTTTTTATTTAATGTACAAGACCAGGGTATAAATCTGAAGCTCTCCTGATATAGAAGAAAATAACAAGATTAGATAACTTCCTGACTCAAACATCTAAAAATTAACAGCTTTTCCACCATTTTATTGTTTTTGATCAAGTTGCTAATTGATGCAACACACCTTGTAACTTGCAAAAGATCGCACTGAAATTATGAAATGAGTTTGCTTTTAACATTTCTTATTTATTTGTTTTTTATTGAGGTGTGACTGACTTACAGTATTACTTTCAGATGTACAACATGGTGATTCAATATTTTTATAGATTATACTCCATTTGAAATTATTACAAAATAATGGCTATATTTCCTTGTACTGTACAATATATCTTTGTTGCTCACTTATTTTATACATAATGG